GTGAACCGATGGAAGACTGACATTTGAAGCAGGCAACAATCAAGTCATTCGGATCTGGCATTGGTTTGCGAGACTTCGCGAATCAGGACTGAATAGCCGCATTAGCCGCCTAGTTTGGTAACGGAACGTCTGCAACAGAAATGCCCGGCTCGGAGAACAGGACAATCCTCTCACAGGGCTATTAGCCTAATGTCAGTTGCGATAAAATCACTGGCCTCGATTCTCGGTCGTCGCCTCAATGCGGAACGGGAAGCCCGGATTAGGGAAGAGCAGGCAGGTTTCGTCCAGGACGGGGCTGTATAGACCACATATTTACTCTGACGCAGCTGTTAGAGCAGCGCCACACATACTGCAGATTGACAATAGCTCTGTTTCTCGACTTCGAGTGTCTTTGACTTAGTCGATCGATGCATTATGTTCGAAATACTTGCGCGGAATGGTGTTCTCATGAAATACGTGAACATTTCTGTGCTCTATACTCAAACACTACAGGCCGCGTCAGGGTATACGATGACCTGTCAGACAGCTTTCAAACAACAAGTGGCGTTCGTCGGGGTTGCCTGATTTTCCCATTTTTGTTCAATTTCGTCGAAGACTGCATCATGGAGTGGTCCCTTGCGAAGTCTTACGGTGTAAGTGAAAGGAGTACTGATCTTGATTATGCGGACGATATTGTCCTACTGTTGAACGATGTTGGGGCGGCGCAATCAACCCTGAACAGCTTCATGAGTGGTCCCATCATTTAGCATGCGCTTCGCAACTACAAAGTGTTGCTGCAGGACCATCAGCCACCTGATATCCCCTTGACAGTTGATAAAGAGGAATTCGAGGTAGTTGATCAATTCACTTACCTTGGCAGCTGCATCAGTAACGATGGGCACATAGTGTAATATGCATCCGGTCGAGGGTTCTGAGGCACTCTGTGTCTGGGGCGTACGTGGGTCGTAGGCAGCTGGAAAAGTATCTAGTAAGTGTCGGAGGCTGGATGAACAGTGTGTCTGTCACATCACGTGGCTAGCTGGGCGGTACTGTCACAGCTGCCGATAGAGGACCGAGCGCGAGACGTAGATGGAAGGCATGAAAACGCACAATAGGTGACTGCTCCAACAACAGGAAGGCGAAATGGAAAGGTAGAGAGAAGAGGAAAGGACGATCACAATATACGCTACGCTCGACGAAAATTCGCTATTGCGACACTCCGGCGCGCTACACTACCCCTTCCTTTATAAGGCGCTGTCCTCAGTGCCTGTAACCCTTACTCGTGTCAACCTGCTGACGCATAGGCTGATGAACGCTGTGATAGGTTTGGACGATTCCGCGTTAGGGAATGCAAGTGATCGCGGCAACGGCTGCAGTCCTGTTTCAGTGACTGGTGTTATGAGCTGGCAGGGTCGCCAAATATGTAATATTCGTCCGATTGAGGATTCCGAGGGCTTCCGTGTCCAGTGCGTACGTAAGTCGTAATGGACCTGGGGAGCTGCAATGAAAAGCAAATACCTCGTAGGTGGCTGGATGCTCATATCACAACCACCTAGTAAGAGATCAAACGAAACGTGAAAATAAAGAGAAGAGGAAGAATCAAGGTCCGTCTAACTGAGGCTGAACGATCTCCTTATCTTGGGGATCACCGCATGGTCACGCTCAGACCCGCTACACAAGGCAACTGAAGTCAGTTCACGTATTGCAAAAGCCAGAACTACTATTTGAATATTCGGCATTTTCAGCAACAGAAAGGAGATTCCTTCCGTCAGGAAGGCCGTGTTTACAAGGCCACAGTGAGTACCGTCCTGCTTTATGAAAGTGAGAACTCTTTCGGTCTGATGACCTGATGCGCCTCCAAGTCTTTGATCACGGTTGTCTGTGGAGCATTGCTGGTGTCGGAAGGCACCAGCGTGTCCGCAACGATGTGCATGGGCGAGTATTACGCAGTGCTAATCACACTAGTTCCTAAAAACTACAGATAGCGCTGAATAAATTGCGTTGGCTTGGGCACGTATTACGTATGCCTGGTCACCGCCTACCGAAGAGGGCCTTGTTTTGTTTGCTAGATGTAGGGTGGCGCAAGGTTCGAGGTGGACAAAGGTGGACCTGTTAGCGGGAAATGAAATCACTGAAGACCAAACTCGATGCTGTTGGTCCGTCCTGCCATCCAGGCTGGAATCCACGTGACCTGTCTAGTGCTTGCCTCGAGACTTTACATGGCGCTAAGTCGACACAAGTGGTGAGGCTGCTGCTGCTCCTAATCGGACTGACTGTTTAAAGTATGGTTGGTGCTGAATTATCTGCGTAATGGTTAATTTTGACGCGAGGCAGTGAAATCCACAAGGAAGCAACAGTCTATGAATAGACATTGAGCCATCGGAAACCATGGAACACAAAAGAAGGTACAGAAATAGTAAAAGAAAACACAACACAATACATCAAAGTCCATGGCTTCGTCAGAGGCCGAGATATTACCCAGTTGCCCAAGCCGAAGTAGGGTGCTGACTTAGGGGACACGCCCCCGAACCTTTGGCTGAATAGCCTGTACGCAAGGCAGCGGAGCGAATTCAGGGAATCGCGCCAATTGGGAGCCGGCGACTGATTGCTCAGTTCATACGCCTTTCGTTTGTTCCTTTGTCAAACAGGGGCCCAATGCTCCCCAAAATTACAGCATAAACTTGCTGGAATAAAATGCTTCGCCAGGATGAAGCAAGGGACAGGGACTTCATTTAGTGGCGAGTCAGGTACGCAACGTCACAGTGTTGTTAAACGGACATATGTGGCTTTTTATAGGGAGAACGCTTGCCAGGCGAAAACCCACCACGTTCTGGAACACTGCCGCCGAACCATTTGCTGGAACGGGAAAATTCCGAAACACCCAGGTGGCACTCCGAGGTTGTTCGGCAAGCCAACCCGTCTCGCTGATGCCGCCTTATCTTTGCACGACAGCCAGCTGTTTGTGACAGAATGTTGTCTACACAAGGCGTAGGCGCCTTGACCCTGAATGTTTGCTTAGGGCATTAAGGTTTTCAGGTAAGTCCCCCTTCTCTCCCCCTTCTTATTCTTTATTTCATAGGTCCTCATGGTTGTATGGCAGCGAAGCATCAGTTCAAATGGCTGTTGTACTGCTGTTGATGATGATGATGCCCACGAAGGGTTGGTGCTCGAGTTGGGCGAAACAGTCCAGTCAAATCAGGACAAATCTGAGCCATCAGTATAAAATACGTGAGAACCAAGTCGCCCCGAAGCCGACTGTAATACATGGAAAACATATCCAAATGACGTAGCCTCTCCGGATGCGTCAGCTTCTTTAATCCGTGCACCATTTTTGTCCCGGACCGCAGGACTCGTTCAACTGCCATCTTATCACGAACAAGGCATGGAGAACAAGCCTGAACGCAGTATTCCAATTGCGGCCTTACAAAAGCCGAAAATAGTCAAACGAACATTTCGGTGGTCATGATCCCGAATGATCTGCGGATCATTCACAACATGTTGAAACCTTTGCGAGCAGCTGTCGTCCAGTGTTTACTGGATTTAAAGTCTGATGACAGCATATAGCGCGTGGATCGTGCGCTATGTATCCGGTACGCGACTAGACGGCCGACCAAAAGTAGTGGGTAGAAGACACAAAAGTAAACTAGGGAAGAAGTTTATTGGACGGGAGGAGCGTTAGCTAATGCTAAAAATAGGGCACCCGGAGAGAGCTAGCTAGGGAGAATGTCGTTGGCGTCGAGAGCGTAGACGGAGCGTCGTTCGCAGTTGAGCCGCGCGCCAAAGGCGGAGATCGTTCTCGTGTTTCCAACAAACGGGAACAACGTTCCAACAGGCAAACCGAATAGTTCCCTAATACACAAGAAAGCTATAGTTTGAATATTTTAGAATAGTTTACACAGTCATACGGGGGAATCTCCAGGTCGCTACAAGCAAAACTCCAATGCCAGATTGGAGCTGAACTCGCGATATCTCGTTGCCGCCAAGTAAATAACGTGTTGGTGCGTCATTCAGATCAACGCGTAAAACGGAACATTTCGCTAAATTAAAGAGCAACTGCCACAAAAGGGACCAGACCTAAACTCTATCCAGAGCCCTCTGTAGGGTTAGTGGACCAATCGGATCGTCTATTGTGAACCAGAGTTTCAAGTCATCCGCAAACATTAGGGATGTCACACACAATTCATCAAGTAGGTCATTAACGTATAAAGTGAAAAGCAGGGGGCCAAGAACTAAACCTTCCGGAACGCCACTTAGAACACATTGGCGGAAGGACAGGCTTGAACCCACCCGCACACACATTTCCCTTCCGATTAGGAAAGCTGAAATCCATCGTAAGACTGGTCCAGAAATACAGTAGGACTTCAGTTCTTACAAAAGGCGCGAATGTGGAACGGTGTCAAAAGCTTTGGAAAACTCAATGAACAGCACGTCCACTGCCTTTCCGCAACCAACGGCTTCGGCCCGGTGTTCGCGAGCCGTTAACAAGTTAGTAAGGCAAGAATAGCCCTTACGAAAGTCGTGCTGAGGGATTAAGCAACTCAAACGCTCTCAAGTGTTCTTCGAGAGCGTCCCTCACAAGCTTTTCCAACAACTTGACCAGCACGCTCGTCAAACTGACCGGTCTATAGTTATCAGGGGGGTGCTTGTCACCTTTCTTAAACATGGGACAAACAATAGCCGCCTCCCAGTTAGGGGGTAGAGAGCAGCTGCGTAGAGACTTCACAAAAAGTTGCGTAATCGGACGGCAAAGTTCATCAGTCAACTCGTGCAACAGTTTGGGATGAATAGCATCCCCACCGACACCTTTATTTGGATTCAATTCCCTCAGAAGCCGGAGCACTTGAGTCTCCGTTATTGAAACCTCCTACAAGAGGGAGCCCTAAGGAACTCTTGCCTGCAGGCTGATATGCGGTACATGCGACTCTCGAACATAAACCCCCAGCATACTGTCCTCCGAGCAAACAAGCTTTTTCGTGATCTGTGACAGCACCATTGTCGTCAGGGCCAAACAACACTGGGATTCACGAGTTCATGTTGTTTCGTCTGTTGCCATACGCGAAGAAGCGTTTCGGGTTTGATGAGGCTATACGAGCTAGCTCTACTTCATGCTGTAGACGAGCACCTCGTAGATGCTGCCTGCAGGCATTTCGAGCGTCTCGGTAGCGCTTGAAGGTGCATGATGAAGGAGCAGATAAGCAAGTACGCCAACATCTGGCACATCTGTTAAGTTGTTTGCGTACAGCAGAATCAAACAAGGGTGGCTTTGCCCTAGTTTTATTCCTGCCAGACAGTGGTATTTGGGAGAGCTCACTCAAGTATGATCTAAATCTGTCCCAGGCCGTATGAATGTCGTCACTTTCCAAAATGATGCAAGGCGAGTTTGCGGCTTTGGCTTTCATTGTCTGTAAGTCCGCGTGCCATATGTTTGGAACTCGGTCGAGACGTTCATGTCTGACGACTAAGGGCGCACTTAAATGGGAGACATGCGTGGCCGCTAGCACCGAGAGATGGGTTGTATACAATATCCATGACAAAAGCAATGAATTTGGCAAAAATCAAGTCCAAAATGGACGGGTTTTGACCCATCATGAATCTAGTGGGCCGATCGACAAACTGGTGCAATGGAGCATGCAAGGCCAGCTCGAGAAGCTCGGTAGCCAAACACTTTGTAACAAAGTCGCAGGAAAATTCTGCCATTCAACCTCGGGAAGATTAAAGTCCCCACATCACTAAACACCTATTTGCCGAATGTTCACGGATGAAATCAACGAGACCCTTAGCAACGCTGTCGGGGCTTCTATAGACCAGCACAACTTTAAGTTGAGCGGAGGCAATACACAGGTTAACTGCAAGTGCCTCAACATTACCGTCTGGTGATCGGAAACTATACGTCTTAAAGACGGTAAGTGCTGAGTTAACATACAAAGCAACGCCACCGCGCCGATCAGAGGTGCGGTCACACCTCAGCAGTGCGTAGCCTGGCAAGCACACTTCACTGTCCGTGACGTCAGTGGACAACCACGTTTCAGTGAATGAGAGAACATCTGGACAGCAGTCGTCGACAAGGGCACCGACTTCGCACAGCTTGTTTCGCAGGCTACGCACATTGCTTAAGATCACCTGAAGGGGTTTAGCATTGTGAGTCCGGGATCGTGCGCCACTAGAACCAGCTCTGGTAGGGCGGAAGTGGACCGCTGGCTCACCACCCGGAAACCCACCAAGCGGCGACCATTTTGTTCTGCCTCATGGCGGGCTTTAAGATCTCTCATAGGTTCCCGCAATTTCAGCCTATCCGCCAAAGGGTGGTCTGCGTGCACAATGACACAAGTGCCCTTGAGCTTAAAGGCGAAACGCAGTAGTGCTTGGCACTCCTCCGGAGTGGACAGAACAAGTCGCAACATGCGAAGACGAGATTTATCACCTGGCAAATTACCGAGCCTGGTTAGTTTGCGCACAGTCATGCCAGGGAAGCCGGGCTACAGGAGTTTGGTAACGCATATTCTAAACCACTGAAGGTCATTTAGCATGCGGTCTTTGGAAAAAACAGCAGATGACTAAGTGGCGTTTCTGAAAATAACCCGGCAGTCGGTATAAGAGTCGTCGCGAGGTGGAGTACTTACCGAACGCTCCGTGGAAGTCGGTAGTTTCAGTTTAGCGTTCGTTTGTATAGACTCTAATGTCGTAGATGATTCCAGCTGTAACGATTCAGTAGTAGTAGAATTTGAGGAGAGTGGGGATAGGGCACCCGAAGGACCTCTCATGTCTGCCTTGGGTTTTGCTGATTTTTAACCCTCTTTCGCTTTCTTTTGACAAGGGCAGAAGCCTACTGCTCTCCCTCGCTAACAGCCGAATCAAACACGCTATCTGAGGGTATGTTACTATTAAGGTCGTTGCTAACAGGTATACTGACATTTGACGGTAAATAAACAAATGCAGAGTCTGACAACTTGCTAGTATCTTCTACTGTCCCCTGACAGAGAAGACTTGAGCGGTCTAGGCACTTCCCAATCCATTCAACTTTCCTGTTTAGAAACGCAATCAGAGACAGCAAACTTTCCAGAGAAACAGAACTGCTCTTTACTGGCGTGTAACGCTCAGTCCTGCGCACACAACAGTCACTACAAGGGTATAGTAAACCCACGCTACTGGACAGAAGAGCATACTGTCTACGATCCAAGCCAGTACAGGTCTTAGGGAACCAACGGTTACAGATATCGCACTGCATGCCCTCAGACGAATCTGTAACCGTTTTTAGACACTCCGCTTTGCCACACATGACCAGAGTCGTCGGAAAGAGGACACGGCGAGTTTAATCAGCGCTCGACAACCATCGCGACGGAGGGGGTTCAGAGGAAGGATTGAATGTAATAGATAAGCAACTAAGATGTGAACCGGTTAACGATGACAAGCTATGCAATCGAAGAAAGCATCAGTCGGAAAGACCAAGTGTGACACGAGTGTATGGAAATGGACTCACCACGTCACAAAGCAACAGTGGACTCCAAGAATATAACAACAGGATCCTTGCAAGAGAGCAGACACCGACACAAGGAAAACTGAAGATCCACTGATCAGTTCAACCACACGGAGCCCTCTTAGAGTTGTCAAAAACAATATTTCGACACAAGGCGATTACAGTAAATCCGCCTTTGTCAAATGAGAAACGGCACACAAGATGCAGGCTGTAGCTGGATAGCGTCTAGGACTGCAGCGATAGGACCCGGTAGAGTTGGGACCGTCTGTCAAAGAAATGAGAATCAGTATCAGATTTATTAAGAGCAAAAAGAAAAACTTCTGTGTACACTCCAGGTACACCATGGGTCCAGCGGTTGAGTAGTTGATAGGTGGTTGGAGTGCCGCTGAGACATCATTATAGCACAGATCAGCAAAATACAAGTCCAAGCCTCTTTTAAATTGGTCGAGGGTTTCAGATTGCACAATCGTCGATGGTAGACGATTCCAATAAGGCACGACACGTCGTTCAAAACAGTAAACATGCTTTACATTGTCCAATCGCATTACTTCTAGCTTGTCTTGATGCCCCCTTGTAATGCTGGTTTCATTGATTTTGAACAGAGGATGAAGAGACGGTAACTGTCCCAGCCGTAATACTCGAAAAAGGGTTATGAGGTCCATACTTAGTCGGCGGTATTCTAGAGTAGGTAACCTTAATCGTGTACATCTGTCAGTGTAATGCAGTGTCTGAAGAGAAGGAATCATCCACGTAGCCAGCCGTTGAGCCCTCTCAAGAGTTCTAGCTTCACCCCGATTAACCGGATGGTAAGCTGGTGCGCCATCTTCCAAGAGAGGACGCACTAGTGCTGGGTAAACCATAAGAACTAGTTCCTCCGTCCATATATGGGAGCACTTTTTCTGTGCCCAGAGTACCCTTAAGCCCGATCGGGACGCTTTTTTAGTATGCTCACATGACTTGAGGTCTTCGCGTGACAACACTCTCGGATCCCAGACACAAGAAACCGCGGTTGGTTGTTTTCCATCCAAGAAGTATAAACGTTCATGGCTATATTTGTCGATGCTCAGAAATACGCACTTCGTGGGATTAATGGGCAGTTTCCGCTGCAGCGACCAAGCAACCAGCTGACCCAAGTCCTGGTGGAGTATGACATGGTCCTCTGCTCCTCGGATCTTGCGCCATACTTTGAGGTCATCAGCAAATGACACACAAGGCGATTGCATACTTTCATTCACATCAATGACATGTAAAAGAAACAGGATAGGTCGGAGCACTGTACCCTGGGGTACACCATTCGGGGAGGTAAACCAATCAGTATAGTAATCATTTACTTTAATCCTCCAACGCCTATCCTCAACGAACAATTTGATCCACTGAAAATGAGCGCCACCGATCCCGTAAGTTCTAAGCCGGTTGAGCAGTTCGGCGTGAGCAACCCTGGCGAACGCTTTGCTGAAATCAGTCAGGATGACGTCAACGCCGACATCATCATTTAACGCCCTCACCCAGTGTTGCCAGGCCACACCCAACCAGCACACCCAACGAAAAATTGTTCCTTATCCTCAGCAAATCCTCACACGATAATGATTGACAAAAATCAGTACGTAACCAAAGTTATAGTTCAGCTTCAAGCAGGACTGGAACGATAGGATTATTCCGTGAGTGCTCCTTCTTCAGCGGGTCGTTGAAACAGGAGTTTGCAGAGCTTGAAATAATGATGGACCTACAACAAGGACGGCATCACACCCTGTCCAACCAAGTAATGTCCACGTATCCTGCCCTAGCAGTCCCTGCTGGGCCGGTTACGTGAAGTAAGAAAGAGAAAAAAGTAAACTCAGAAGGTAAAAAAAGTGGAAAGAGCTAAGCACGTAGAATATCAAGATATTTGGATCATTAACAAAAAAACTGAAAAGTGAAGGTGAGTCAGTTAGAAAAAAGGAACGTTTTGCTGTTGCCACCCAAGAGCTTCGAGCTGGCGCGAAAAACCCTTAACCGTAGGTTCCCTAACCACAAGACTTGGAAGCGCATTCCAGCGATCTATGACGGCGCGACAGTAGATTTTCCATCCTAATCTTATCAGACCGTGATTTATGCAGTTTCAGTGGGTGACCGCGGAGATTAGGTAACGCAGCGGCACTGAATAGCCCTGACAAATCCAGGCCGATCTTACCCGCCAAAATACGATAAGTGAGAACCAAGTCCCCTCTTATCCTTCCGTAGTGCATTGAGTACATCCCCAAACTAAGCAAGCGTTCAGGATACGTCTGTCACCGTAGACTCTGCACTAACCGAGTGTCCACTCGTAACACCCACTCCAAGTCCATTTTGTCGCGGTTAAGACATGGTGGACAAGCCTGAATACAATATTCCTGGTGGGGTCGGACGAATGCCGAGAACAGCTTCACAAACAAATTGGCCGTTAGGATTCCGAAAGAACAGCGGACAAACTACATCATACGAAACCCCCTACAATTGTCGCCAGAATAAAGTGCAGATGAGCGTACGACCCCTAAATCAACCTGCAGAGTGACGACACGGAGCTCACCACCGCCGACAACATAACGGGTGGGAGGATTAGCAGGTCCGATTCGGAGAACAGAGCACTTGGCCCTATTTATGGGCATCAACCATAAGGTAGACCATTCCCAGAGCCTATCCAAGGCACGCTGAATTGCCTCAGGACCACCCGGGATATCCACAATATTCCAGAGATTAAGGTCGTCAGCAAACATTAGTGATGACACTCCTAGCTCCTCCCGGCAAGTCATTTACATAAATCGTGAACAACAATGGCCCCAATACCGAGCCCTTGGGGACGCAAATAAGGACAGCTTGCTTGAGCGAAAGGCTACGCCCCACCCGTACGCACTGTTCCCTCCCCTCAAGGAAGGCAGACACCCACTGAAGGGCACGACCAGATACACC